ATTATTATATATATATATATATATATATATATATATATATATATATATATAAAGAGAAAGAAGAACACTTGGGGTATCTTTAATAAGGTTTATTCAAAGACTAGTGAACATTTTGGAAGATGATCGTGATTAATGCGTGGCTAATTCGTTTGTTTCGACGAGTAGGTTTTCTTGAGCAAGACCCTACAAGCGTGTGCATATAAAGGATTGAGAAATAGATGGCTTCATTCAGAAGTCGTCACCTTCAAGCAAACTCGGTTGTTGGATAGGAATTTATGTTTCAGTACCGTTTGTTCTTATGGGAGAAAATATAGCCATAAGTTTGACATGGACAGCCAAAAGGGAATCGATCTTCATTCAGGGATGCAGCCTTATCCTCCTCCCGCCTTTGTTCCTTGTGAAAGACCGTCCGCCTTCCAACCTTCACCGAGTGCGAAAAGCAACTTTAGAACAACTTTATATCTGAACCACCGAAAGTGATGGCCTCACGACCATCCAATAAGCCGTGGATGCGTCATCGAGCATTAGAACAGTAGTCATTATGTTTTTGTACGAGTATAACCCTACAGCTTTCCCATATTTTTACGAGGTCTAGAAATTTTTAGATGTCTATCTTACCGACTATCGCACCTGTATCTGATGTAGGGAAAAAGGCAACACATACATAAGTAATGTAATTTCAGATTAATATGCCACTTAATAACATAACAAAGAATCATAGAAGAGAAAAAAATGTTGGGAATAATCTCATCCGACGTGCCAACATGGACGATTTCATTCATAGACGCCAATGGATATATTACAAAGCTATCTTTGCTCATTCACCGAGAAAGAAACAACAGAGACCCAAAAAGAGGTTTGAAGATTATAAAAGCACTGTGGACGCTTGCTTCCCGTTTAAACGCTAAATTACCAACTCTTTTGCCTTTCCAAAACATCATTACCTGATGACACTACACATCAAAAGATAAAAAAGATAATTATTGCATAAACTATTATTTATTCTGACAGATTATTTTCAGCAGAAAACAAGATAAAATAATATAAATTATTAATATTCTGAAAGAAAATAATGGCACATAATAATGTTAAATGATCAGGCACAAAACAGTAATAGATAACACTGAACATGGTTTATACTAAGAACAATAAAACACGGTACAGTCAACAGTGTAGAAGATAATAAAGAAGCCTGTACACACAGTAAACTCTCCACAAAAAATAAAAAAGGATCTTGATGGACTCGAACCATCAACCTCTCGATCGAATTCGACCGAGCGCTCGACCAGTCTGAGCTTGAAGATCCACAAGCATCTCAAGAAACAAATTTTAATGATTTTCCTTAAATACAGTACTTCTTTTAACACTACATTACTTCTTTAACGACTGAATGGATTCTAACTAGTAAAGGCCAAATGTTACAAAGAGAAATCCCATTATCGAGAAACAACATTAAATTTATGTTATACAGCGGTTATTCAAAGGAGAAGCAGTAATTGGGTTCCAGATAAAGTTACAGCCTAAAAAAATTCAATAAATCAATACTTTGAATTACATACCTTATTGACAACAAAATATCAATATTTAAAACTAGATTATTAATTAAGCAACAACAAGATAATTCAATTTATCATATTTACTCAAATATATGATACGATTATTTCAAATTACCAGATTCCACTATGCAACATTACAATTGCCACTTAATAGATCAAGGCAACTAAAATTAAGCTTGCCAAAATTTAATCTGAGAAATTGTTTGCGCAACAAATAAACAGTGCAGAAATGATAACATTCAAGCATCCAACAACCATAAGTGGAAATGTCAAAATTAATAACAATAATACTAATAAATGAACTGCTCAAAAAAATATTAAACTACAATAGAAATATATTAAACTACCAATCGTTATTAAAGATCTGTCAAAATTACATATCAATCCACAGTAAATCATAAACCATATAATCCCAAATAAATGTGTGGAATCTTGGTTGGCAAGAGTGACAAGGATATGAAAATATTGATTAAAAGTATAAACTGGAACCACCATAAGAAAAGGAAAATCCAGTATGCATATGAAACCATAAACAGATCATATTGCAGAACAGTACTATTTTTAGAAAAACTTCCAATCCAATGTAAATAATAAAATTAAAGATGCAAGGTAAAATTAATGTAACAAAAACAACAGACATGACGTTAGTTCCCTGTAACAATATATAATCAATGAACTCTAATATTTATGGAAATACCTATCACAATATTTAAGATGTTCCTTATATCAAGAAGTGTGTACTCTGCTAGCGATGATCACTGCATTACAACAGGAAAAAATTTTGACTATTCCATTCACCTGAGTAAGCATAACGGTATAACATTCTTAATAAATCATGCTACAGCAATAACAATTAAACATAAAATTCTTATTTGCCTACAATCAGGTATGAAGTCTGTAACAGCAAATTGAACATACACACCATCGGGCCTTTTATTGCAGGTATGAACATAACAAACAATCTGGCGAAACTGAGATATTATAATAATGAAGTAACAGAAGCTAATAAATCAATTTCAATCACATGACGCACATTGAGAAGATATAGTTTTGACAAGGCAAAAATGTAGAAACTTCAATGACAGCAACTTCATTGTATTATGTAAAAATATTATCAAAACCAAAGAAAGAGCTTATTCTGTCCCCAGTTGTCCTCCAAATCCAAAAGATTGAAGAGTCCACTAGAAGGACAAGGAATAAGCTCAATGTCTCCACAATCAGCAGCGGGTAATTTATCACATACCAACTGACCTCAAAAACTATCAAACTTGATAAATAAGTTCAGAAAGGAAAAAACGATACATCTTAACATTCAAAACTAATGGAACTATGTAGCATATATCAACATTAAATCAAAGGTAAAGATGGATTATGCATATAAGCGTGGACTGAATAGAGTGAGATTATTCATAATGACGATCAAATTTTAGTTAGTAAAAATAATAGGAGACGTATGTCATAACTTTCAATTTCGATAATGGGTGCGCTAGTGGAGGTAATACCAAATAAGATGACAAGTAAACGAATTAGAATGTGATGATTGCACTATGACCCTCTGGTATTTTGGTCATGCAAGGTACCCTTAAAGTACTAGTTCAAAGAATCCAAGAGCGAGTTTACTAGCGACATAGAAGGATCACAATAACGAGACAAGGCACACGAGGGTGAGAACCTGGGGTACGAAAACACCCCATGCGTTCCCACCAAACACACGAAAATTGGCATACTTTATTACGGTTCTTTGACCTGCCATGCGAGCGCACCCAATATGGCAAAGGCCGAGATGACAGCCTAATAAGATTAATCACCAGACAACATCCCTATTTTACCTTACCCTCGGAGGAGATCTCTGGCTTTACACATCCACTACATCAGAAAGAACCTTATATTAACAGGAGAGCACATGAGATCCATTCATCGACGACCTACTCATATTCAGATCCAGATTGTCCGCGGGCGAGAATGCATCGATCAAGTCCAAGCAGCCACAACGCCGACCAAAAATCACCGTGATCTGTAAAAAAGAATTCTAAGTCACCGTAATACTTCTTCCATCGCCAAAACCTACATTTGCAGCAACAGATTCATCAATAATTGCTTAGGATTCAAACAACCAATCAACAAATTAGCTTACCGATCTACGAATATTATGAGTAAAAGATTAACAATTTACAGGTTGAAACATCGGCGAAGACGCTATGAGCCAAAAATCAGAAGAATAGCGTATAATATTAAAAAAGCAATGAAGGTGAACACGATCAAAACTAGAGAGGCATCACCTACACGCCAAAGATCAGCGTCCTTTGTTGCCAGACACTCCCGATCGAGAGCCGAACGATGGCTGCGGAAAAGGTAATCCACGAGACGAACGGGACGACAAAGCCTATATATCTCGATGAAAGGCGAAGAACGTGGAGTTTATTGACGAAGAAACAAAAAATGGACGGCCAGATGGAATCAGTAACTTTTTGATGGACCTGATGCTACCACGTGTCGGTAAAGTCAGTTGGGCGCGCACCGATTTTCCTTGCCTGACCGCAACGTTGGGTGAAGTCATTGCTTACGTTTTCATTACAAAGGATTCGCTTCGCGGTCGGAATTCCACATAGGGAAATAGACGAATCAACGAGCTAGATTGGTGGGATCCGGGGTGCTGGGCTCCTGTTTGCTGCTCATGACCCCATGCCAAATCGGATACGGAAATCAATTTCACGTTCCGTAACGATATCGAGTCGGCGGATAACAATTCGAAAACCGCTGTCACGTCCTTTCTGTACGCTCGCTTGGGGGTGATCGATTTGAATACGGATATCTTTGAATTTTATATAACTATATTGGTATCAAAATCGCTAGTCGTTAATATATTTTTCTTTTTTGAAAAAGATAAATAATAGGAATTACAAATGAGGATTGACCACTCGTTAACCTATCGATCTGCACAATCAATCCGAAGATCTGATTGCGACATTTGAGCATATCGACGCAGTTATCTCATCACGCTTATTTCCCTTTTAATTTTTTTTCTGGAAACCGGCCTGTTTCTCTCCTAAACTCCATGGGAGATTTAAGGGCTGTTTGGTTGTCTTTTTAACTAACACTTGGTCATATATACATTTACACGAATTCGAATCAGAATATGGACTCGAACTTTGTTGTTTGACCATCAAATTGTTTTTATTGGAGGCGTCCAATCAATTTAATTTTCAATCTCACCTATGGAAAACTTATTTTGTAGCATCTTTTTATATTTCTCCGCAAAAGAAGAGGATGGCGGGAGAACTTGGCGCCAATTGATTCCCGCGTCCTGGTGTCCTTAAGAACCGCTTTCTACGCTTCATAACCAAACGCACCTCCTGAAGCCAATCTCTATTCTCTCGTCGTCTCTCCGAAATCGACGTGGTGGCGGATATGGGAAGCGGCAACGCCGGCATCCAAGAGCCGTCTCCCGAGCTTCAGAAGGTGGATCAGAATGGCACCCCTCGACAGGGAGAAGGCCTACTTCCGACCCACGATCTCCCGCTTCTTAAGGTCAAGAAGCTCTCCGACAAGGCCGTCTTGCCTTCAAGAGCTTCCCCTCTATCAGCCGGTTATGATCTCTCCAGGTGAAGAATGCGTAGTTTTCTGTAACTTGCACCGACTGTCTCCGCCTAACTATGCTGTATCTTCTCGATCTCAGTGCGGTGGAAACGAAGGTCCCGGCCCGAGGAAAAGCTCTGGTGCCCACCGATCTTAGCATTGCCATTCCTGATGGAACTTACGCTCGCATCGGTATAATTTCCACACCCCATATCGTGATTTCTGATATCTGCTTTGATCTTGTCATGTTCATGCTACGGGGTGTTCGACGAAATGAGTCAAAGAGGGTTCCCCACCATCATTTACTTTCCTCACTACAGCTCCTCGGTCCGGATTAGCTTGGAAGCACTCGATTGACGTGGGAGCAGGCGTGATCGATGCGGATTACAGAGGGCCACTGGGCGTCGTTCTGTTCAATTTCTCGGATGTAGATTTCGAGGTGAAGGAGGGCGATCGGATTGCGCAGCTGATCATCGAGAGGATCATGACGCCGGAGGTCCTCCAGGTCGATGATTTGGACTCCACTGCTAGGGGTGTGGGAGGGTTTGGGTCTACTGGAGTCTGATGCTGGATGTCGTTGTTGACATAGCTCTGCTTTGGTTCTGATACCTCAAACAGATGGTCTGTTTTTTTCTGTTGCCTTGATATCAAAGGTTTAGTTTTGATGACCGTTTGGTTGCTGATCTGCAACAATGAAACGAATCCTGTAGTGAATGTCCGGCATATAGTGCATCTTGAATTGTCACTACCTCTACCAGACATTTATTTCTTTGTATTAATGTCATTTAAAGCTTAATCCCACCAATATACAACAGCCCCTGCTTTCGGTGTACTTCTAACCTGGGCAATCATGCGCGAATCAATCAAATCCGAGAACGATATCAACCAATCATCCTTGGTCTATTATTAGTTTGGCTCGAACTCCTTCTCAATGCGGACACTGCTCGGTCACGTAAATTTCTCTTCTTTGTGGATGTCAATATCCTTGACTTTTTTTCAGTGCCAGCGATTGAAAGAGCTGTTCAATGTGAAATCATAGCCTACGAATTTAGCGTGTGGATCCCACTCATTAAAGTTTAAGTTGCTTGGAATAATAAGAGGCGATATCGAAAGTGGCATCTCACCTAATTGACTCGGGTCTCTGCGTGCTTGCCTCTCCTTAAGAAAACATGTGAAAAGAATCTAATTCAAAGGCCTACCGACACCTTATTCTACTATCCTACCACGTCAAGTTTTTTGTTTGTATACTTCTTATAATGAGTAGGATTATTCTCTTCATTTGCTGGGAATTCTTCGAGATGAGTTGATTACACCGGAGGTACAATAATCCAATAATCAACATTTAAATATTAATCACCAATTAAGACATATATAAAAGAAAAAAAAGGAAAATACCCTCTCCTCCCTCTACTACTCGTCTCATTGCGGCTTCTCTGCTGTATTAAAGAGAAAGGGGTTGACCTGTCCCATTCCAACCGCCTCCATTTCTGAGACGTCATGAGAGACGGAGGCGATTCCCTGCCCTCGATCTCCGCGAACCCCAAGCGCCACTCCCCCTTCCCTCTCTTAGGCAAGGGCCGGTACAAGCTGTGGGTCTGCGCCGCCATCCTCCTCCTCGCTCTCTGGTCCTTGCTCACCGGCACCGTCACCCTAAAGTGGTCCATCGGCGGCGCCAACAGCCCCTCCGACGCTCCCGTATTTGGCGACCTCGACGTCCTGGTCCGCCATTCCTCGAAACTATAATATGGCTTTGTCTTCGGTTCCTCTGCGCCGTGATCTCTTATTTCTTCTGTTTTGGCTCGTGTGAAGTAGGAGGTGGAGGAGAGGGAGAAGGTGGTTAGGCATATGTGGGACGTGTACGTCCACAGCCGCATTGCTCGGCTGCCGAGGTTCTGGCAGGAGGCTTTCGAGGCGGCGTACGAGGAGCTCGCTGGCGACGATCCCTCGTCCAGGGACGCCGCCACGTCCGAGATTGCAAGGATGTCGATGCGAATGGCGGATCCTGAGCCCAATCAAGATGCCAACGTAAACTTCCACTTGAAACCGAGTCCAATAACTGATTTCTTTTCTGTGGCTATTTGGTTTTCCTTTTCTCTTATCATGTAACTTTATTTCTTTTGCAACTTAGCTTGCTTGAATGATCAGAATAGGTAAGTATCGCTTACTTTTGTTCTCTTATATTTCTGCGATTAAGGGGCACATTGGATTTCCAATGATATAAAATAGGTTTTGCAAAAGAATTAATGTCGGATAAAGCTTTATTAGGAATTCGGTATTCATTTCGGATGAAACATAATTGTTATCAGATTTCTTCCGAGACTTGTATCACTAATTTGTTTATGTTCATTCCTGTTTATGTTGACTTGTTTGCTTGCATGTCTTCCAGAATGGCGAAGAGGAGAAGAATCAAAGGGACGGAGATGGCAGGCCAATGCCGAACTCCTCATCACTGAAAGCTCAATCATAATGGCGTTATCCAACTTCAACACAAACCGATGCGTCATGTACAAGACATGTGAACAAGCTCTCATCTAGAAATTAATTTTCTTTCTGAAGTTTAGCTTTGGTGGATGCTTGAAGTTGGTTCTATAATCTGTTATGGCTCAGTAATCTTAATGCAAACTCACCTGAAAGTTGACTCCCATGCGCACGTTCACATTCCTTCCCGAAAACGTCACCGAAGTCTTCTCTTCCAATGGCCTCGTCGCCTGCCGCGGCCTCTTCCCCGTCTTCTCTTACAACTGTATCTGCAACCCCACCACCGCCCAATGGACGGCGCTTCCAGAGCCGCTCCACCATGTGACCGACTCCGTCGCGCTCGTCTTCCGGCCGTCGCCGCTCAACTTCTCCGTGGACATTTTGGGTTCAGTCTTTTCGTTGAGCAGAGAGTTGAAGACTTATCCTGATGCATCATGTTACAGCATTATACCGAGGATGCTGATACAGAGCTCTCGGTTACAGGGGATTCGGAGCTTTAAAGCCTCATCAATTATGCCACATAAACATTAGATCTATGAACCCATAGTAACTTACAGCTTGATCACTTGAAATAGAGACGCACAAGAGTAAGTTGTGCACATAGGGTTTGGTACACCATCAACCACCTAAATTCTTTACATTTTGGCTTTACAAACATTTCCACCAGCTTCGGCATTGCAAGTTTCACAATCACAGGTGCACTGAGATAAGGTTCCCTTCATTCTCTTCTTTTATTTACTATCTGCAGTTGTTCTAAAACACCAGACTCGGTCATAAGCTTCCAGATTGCGTGGTCTTCTTTGACATGCTCCTATCTTTCTTTGGTGCTCGACTCGAACTACAGCCCCAACATTTCTTGGAAGGCCTTCATAGATGAAGCTGGCAATCCCACGACCACCGTTACACTCTTCATTCCATTGACCTGAGGAAGAAACACCACCACCTTGTGCGGCAGCTCCGCCGGGCCGGACTGAACCGCCTCGCCCCACCCGAAGTCCGAGCTCATGAACTTGAGTTTGGTCCACGTCGTGATCACCAGCGTCGCGGTCAGGGACGGTCTAGCCCGGTTCGACTCGAAGTAATCGATCGCGGACCGAATGAACCGGTCGGTCGTGTTCCGCACCGCGGCCTGGATCAACCGGGCGGCGAAAGAGACGGGGTTATCCTGCAGCTCGCCGGCCTCGCACAAGCAGCAGCCGAACACGACCCCGTTCCCGAAGAACCCCACCGGGAGCGGCGGCTGGAACCGACGCCGGACGTCGACCGCGAACAGAAGCTTGGTGTTCTGATGAGGGTCCATGTTAAGGGCCCGTGTCCAGGATCTCCAGATGAAGGCGGAGAGGGCCACGAAGCAGGTACAGGATCCGTCAACGGTGGCCATGAGCTTGAGCCGGTCCAGCTCGTCAGAGCCGAAGGTGAAGGCCCGGTACCGGTTTGGCTCGGACTCGAAGAGTTGCGTTAGGTTCGATTCGTCCTCGAGCTCGGCGAACTCGTGGTGGGGGAACTCGATCTTTGGGGGGTGACGAGCTCGTTGTATAGTACGGTCCAGGAACGGGGCCCGGGAAAGGCGACGGTTGCGGGCCGTCTCCGCCCACGACTGGAGGAACTCGACGCTTGATATCCCGTCTGCCATGCAGTGGTTCATGGCCAGTCCCACGACGAACCCACCGCACTCGAATCTCGTCACCTGGATGGCCATATAAACGTGATCCATATCATTAATCAACTTCATCTGGTACTGGTAAGAAGATTGCTGTCATATATAGACAGGCATTTACGTCACCTGCACAGTGAGGAGAGGAGTCTGCAAAATGTTCTTGGCTCGAGAGTCAACATAGACGAGCTTCCCAAGCTTCTCAGGATCAGGGATGGAGATGTCCCCCACCACCTCCATGCCGCACTCCGCTGCCGCCTCCACGAACGGCACACCCCGCCCGTCGCACTTCACGATGAGCTTCCCCTCCGGGCTGATGGTGAGGCTCCCCGAGAAGGGGTAAAAGTGGACCAGCACCTTGGCTAGGGCGTCTCTCAGGACCCGGCCGACGTCGGCGGTGCTACTGTCGGTCGCCGCCGCGAACAAGTGCACCGTCTTCATGATCCCGGCGACGTTCTGATCTAAGTTCGACAGGAAGTAGAACTCGCCATCTCCGGCGACCTCAACGGGGTGCACTCTCACTGGCTCCGATCTCGTAACAATGAACGTGACTTCACCATTGGAATCTCTGTTATCCATCTACGAATACATGAAGAAACAAAATCTAAGCATTTCTAATGGGTTTTAGAGAATGATAACATATTGTAATCGGACTAATGGTATATAAATGAGATCGGTAAAGATACAAAGAGCAATGAACTTTAATCGTAAGAAAGAATGGTTTTAAGCACAAAATAGAAAAGAAAGATCACGATCAATGCGACACAAGAGATTGCCATGGCCGAACGAAGACTGCCTTAAGAACGAACAGCTCTCGAGCATGGTTTACATTAGGCCATGATCCATGTTCTCTAGAGTAAAACACTAGGCTGTAAAGCGGTACCCAAACGAAGTTCTGTGGACAGTGGACGATGGACATATATATAGAAGAAAGGGCAATGCTGGTGTTGGGATTGACAAATGCATAAATGTAGTTTGGTGAACCGGTTGCAGTGTCACGACACTTGAGACTTGTGACAGCAACTTTTGATCTCCCTATTCAAGGTGAGCTTGCAAAAGGATTCATTCTCATGAAGCTTTCTAGGGTGGCACAGCTGCTTTTCCAACCACTATTAGTGGTTCTCTTCATGTGCTGCGATAAGAGGAACTCAGGCTTGACATAAATGGTGATCAAACCCATCTCTCTGCGACCCAATAAATCAGGGTAGGTGCAACTACTCTTGAAGTCGATGAATAGACCAACACCAGCTGGTCTTTGGTCGAAATCGTCTTCCAAAGTGTTGGATCAGATGAAAAAAAAAGAAAAAAAAAAAGAGAAAAATGTCACGTGATACTCGACATTACATAGCTGACGTACGTATCACATACATGCATGGTTCTTAAATCAAAGAGTACTTTATACAGTACAAGGAGCCCAATCTGGTTTCGAGGCATTCACGCTTCGTCTTCTCCCTCTTGCGAACACTGTTCGCTGACAACTTCGGACCTGCAACGCAAAGTTCCAGCAGAGTAGACGCGGATGCTGTTTCCTCCTGAAGATAACTTTAGATCCCGGAAAACCATGCCGGGATTGGATCGGCAGAGGCACTCCTTGGGCATGAGAAGCACCCTCACCATGCAGCTCTCCTCCAGCCACGGAGCTGCATGGAGATGGGAGGGCAGATCGACCAAGAACTCTCCGAACTCGTCCGTCGTTCCACATGTCCAGTTAGTCTTCCTCGTGGATTCCCCATTTGTTCTGCATCCCACCCCAATTCTGGCGCCTTCAACCACGCAGCAATGTCGATGTTAGTCAACTCTTGAACCATCTGGTTTTCGTTTTTGGCCCACAATTCAATTTTTATATCATTTTTCTTTGGATATATGAACATCGAAGAGGTAACCGTGACAAAAACATTACACCTCATGAGAGCCAAGTCGCCGTACCCTCTAAGGAACAAAGACATCATCAAATATTCCGGAGAAATGGAAGGGGAAAAGAAAAAGGATTTCCTGTTACATCAAGCATTATATTATTCAATAATCTATAATTCAGATCATAACCTCAAGAATAATCTATAATTCAGATCATAACCTCAAGAACAAAAGAAGATTCATATATACTGCATCTCAAGATTGGAGAAATCCAGACACTAATGTATTCCTACACCAAAAAAATGTGTTGTTGCTTCAGTTGTCACTCACCACGTTGACCTATTAATTAGGATCACCCAACAGATGAAAATACTTCTTTATCTTCCAGCAAAAATGTTCGAATGAAACTCCTAAAAATGAGGATGTGTAGCTTCCATGGACTGAAGAAATTTGGAATGTTCGTGTGCAGATCATGAAAGAAGTAAGATCATCATGTCTAACACCACTAGTAGAAAAAGGAAACTAGATCGAACATGTGTATTCATAAACACTAGCTCGGTTCTTTCGAGTTCATGATATATATATATTTATTGCATCTAAAACATCGCATAACTGTTTGTCTGCATACTGTTCGATTATACAATGGTTGATCCCCTGTTTCAGGACCAATAGACTAAAGGAAGAAGAAAAGGCTGTGTGACCTGGAACAGGGAAGGTGACGGGGTCGGATCCTGGCCTCAAGCATGCATCGCAGAGGAGGGTGCCGGCGACAAGCACGGAGGAGATCCTCTCCTCTCCATATCCTGCCAATCGCACAAGCTCCGCACGCGTGAGCTGCATGGAGAACTCCTCGCTCGTCAACGCCGAAGCACACAACCTGGAGCTAAAGAACGACGACGACGCCACCAAAATGGAGGCCCCGAGAAGAAATTCATGCGTCTTTGGCATCATCTTCTTCAGCACTATTATCTGGCTGGAAGTGGGATCTCAGAAGTTATATATATCACGCACATACATATGGTTCTGACAATTAATGAATCGTGGGAGAGGTGATTTATAAGATTAGGATTGAATTTTTGGACATGACTAAATGTAGCTCTCGAGTGGTTGTTCAACCACTGAAGCAACCTCTTCCGTGGTGGCAAGCGAGGTAAGTGACAGAGATGCGTCGCCATACGCACTCAGCTCTTTACACAGAGAAGAAAACTCGGAAAGAATAAGATATTTGATCCGTAATGTTGTAAAAAAAAGTAAAACGAATTACTACAACAAACACATACAACGTATAGTTTCAAGCATTCATGCATTCGAAGTTAGGTGCATGAACTTGTGATCAACGCAACCTTTCTTGATGATGATTTTGCTAAAATTTTCTTGTCACTGATCACCTTCGCGAATCTTTGCAACGATCAAAATATGTCAGCATCTGCACTTGTTGCTTTGTAAACCAGAAGAATGCCATGTTCCTTTCCTTTAAACGCAAGCAAAAGCTTCCCCTGTATCAAACCAGACTTCTCCAACCATCCTAGAACTAGAACTCACAGGTTACCTTGTGAATCCTGGTGGGCAGTCGATCTATTCTGAACATTTCTGTCGCTTGATTTCGGGAGTCAAGGACATGTCTCACCTAACAACTGCATTGCATTGTGGTACCATTGCTTATTGCCTCCGTCTTCAGTGATTGGTGTTCCTCTATGTTTTGGAAACCAAGACGTGTCACGTTACAGTACGAATTAACTGAGTGTCGAGAAATTAAATGAATTTTCATTAAAAAAAGTATTATATATATAATAATAATAATATAATATAATTGTACAAATATTCATTATATTTATCAATTATCTAACTATCCATCTTATCTCAGATATTCTCCAATACTCGCCTCCCGTTGTTCCGCTAACTTGAAAATTCACTATACTATCAGCAAATAATCTATATCATGATACGTCAAAATAGTTTTAGATTAGCACAAATATTTAGTAGGGAATAGAGGTCAAAGATAAACCTAATAATAATACACTGATCAAATATGATAATAAATTAATTTTGCATATGATATGTGAATCACAAAACAATAATTAAAAGTACAAAATCATAAGAGTAATCAAGGGTGCATACATATTCTTTATATAATATTATCCATAAATACAACCAGTGTAGTTATCTCAAAATTAGAAATTCGTAATAATTTTAAAATTAATTAAAAAATGAGTGAATATTCATCTCAAGTGGAATATTTATTTTTTAATTATATTTTATGATAAATTGATAAAAAAAAGTTTTAATCTAAATCGACTTTTTTAAAGTTAGGAAATAGAAATCAAATCTTTATTTCAAAATTATCTCATTAGACTCCGAGGCAAGTTCTCCGATCTCTCCTTCTTAATTATTATTATTAGATAAATTTTAAAATTTTATATCTAGATGATATAAAACCTATTTTATATTTATTAAAAAATATATAAAAATATTTAGAAATGTTTTTAGATATTATAGATCAAAATATATAAAAATCATGAATAAATAATCATTATAATTTTATTTTGGGTAACTATCTATTTTAATTTTGTTCTACATAACTTTTTTTTTATATCTCAGAAATATTATCATGTCCGGCGCGACCTCGAGCACGCATCTCGGATTCGACTCATATCCAGTGGGCCGGCTTGCGCGTAGTCGGTGCCTCTTAATGGACCGATGGCTTGGCATGTTCAGCTCGGTCAAGTAATGGGCCGTGGTGGCCCAAGGCTAGTAGACCGAGTTCTCTGTGTCCCGCAGACTCTGCAGCCCACTCTCTGTAGCCCACGTACGACCCGGTACTGCAGCCCATCCCGTTTTCTCTTTCCCTCCCTCCGACGAATGTGCCGAGCACGTGAGCCCTTTTTGGCTTCTCTAGAATTATTATCCCAGAATTGTAATGAGCAGTTCGACCTAATATAAACCCTATGGTATGGACTTCGGGTTTGTGCTATTAAGATTAGTTTTCGAAAATTATGGCCATATGATGATTGACTCTAATTTATTTCTTTTGTATTTATTATACTACTACCTTTGTATATGTTTTGAGAAAGATTATGTAATATGAATCCTTTTCTTTATGTATATCATCAGCAACATCAAATATATTTGGACATCATATTGGTGCAGAAAGCACACGTCCAATAATAGTCGATGAGTTCTTTTTTTTTTAATCTCCCAATAATAGATAGAAAGAACTCTTATGTTACTCATAATAATAGATATAGTAATATCTCTAATCTATCAACACTGAATGAAGGTACCATTTTTACTTTTACTTTGAGAACTCGGTAGATCCCAAAAGGAATCGCTGTATTAATATTCGTGACATCAATAGGACCTATACATGTCCTCATATTATATCAAAATTATCTATCATTTTATAACATATCATCATGACTCGGACACACAAGACAATGTAATGATTGATACTCACTGTATGATGGGTACTAAGTTCTTGTGGAGCACAACCATACGAAGATATCCGATCTATATCAATCAAAGTAGATCAATTATGCATGTGTCAATACATGTATAAGACGGATCGACAAATAGATAAACATATTACTTGTTTATCATGTATCAAATTTAATCATGTGTGTGCCGAAAGTATGAAGTAATTTCTCGATAATCCAATCAAACGACGTGAAACTTGTGCCCTCTCTGTGTAATAAACAATCAACCATGGAGAGGAGAACCCAAATCCAAAGTCTATAAGAGTAGGTGACACAACACCTCCATTGCCCTCGCACCTCCGAGAGAAGCAGGTGATGGAGAACACACAGGAAGGCCTTCCGACTGACCAAGAGTTCCACCACGACCTCGTCTCCAGCCTTCCACTCGAGGAAGGCATGTCGCCGGTGCGCCTCCGAAAGTACCAAGGCGTTTGGATGTCGGAGTACTTCCTGGTGGGCACCATGAACGCACAGCGATACTTCAAGTCTCGCCCCACCGACATCCTCCTCGCCAGCTACCCCAAGTCCGGCACCACCTGGCTCAAAGCCTTGGCCTTCTCCACCATGACCCGAACCCGTCACTCCTTCGGTTGCCATCCTCTTCACCACCTCAACCCCCATGAGTGCGTGCCACTCCTCGACGAAATCGCCGGCAGCCTCGAGAGTCTCTCCGAGATCGACGCCGCGAGCGATCCTCGCCTTATCAGCACCCACCTGCCTTTCTCCCTGCTACCCGAGTCGATCAAGAGCTGTGGTTGCCGATTGATATACGTTTGCCGGGAGCCCAAAGATACGTTGGTCTCTCGGTGGCACTACCACGGCAAGATTGTAACAAATATGGGGAAGAGCGAGGTAATTCCTTTCGAGAAGATGTTCGACATGTTCTGCGATGACATCATGCCAAGCGGGTCGATATGGGAGCATGCCTTGGGCTACTGGAACGAGAAGACACAGACACCGGGGAGGGTGCTGTTCTTGAAGTATGAGGAGATGTTGGAGGATCCCACGGGAACGTTGACGAGGTTGGCCGAGTTCATGGGTTGCCCCTTCACCGAAGAGGAGCTTAGGGTGGGAGTGCCAGCGGAGATCGTAAGCCTCTGTAGTTTTGGGAACCTGAGAGATTTAGCTGTGCAACAGAACCGCAGAATCAGCCCTGGTGGTATCATGACGACGGAATCTTACTACAGAAAAGGAGCAGCCGGGGACTGGAGGAACCATCTCAGTCCAGAGATGGCTGAGAAGTTGGATCGGATCACCGCGAAGAAGCTGCAAGGAACAGGTTTGACTCTTGGGCGTCCCGTCTCGGAGACCACCGCCATGGACGCTTAATTAATTAGTTCCCAGCCCATGGAATGGATTCTGCTTGCAGTGTGCTTCGAAATTTCTACTGTGTCTGTGTGGTGTGATGAATTATGCTTGTGCGATTGAAATCAAATAAATTAGATCTAATAATATTATATAATATTACGATATGTACCCTTTTTTTTTTTATTGAAAAGAATAAATCATACTCTATTTTCAAATCTGAAATATCAATCTGAGAACTTGATCCTTCTCCTCTCTTCCTATTTTTTTCACAGGACCATCTAGATTGATGGATTAGGGGATTAGGGGATTAGGAGAGAAGGAGATTGAAAGAAAAGTCTTAAACTCTCAATTGTTGAGATGTTATTCAGATACACACTTAGTTCTTAGAGGCCACACTTAACCCTTAGAGGTCCTGTCTATTTATAAACGAAAACAGAGGATCTAGGATAAGTTATTAGGAGAATTCCTCCCATCAATGTTATCTCCTAAGGAATTCTATTTTAACATGAACTTATTGATCAATAATCATAATTAAAATTTAATAATATTTATAATATATCTTATTTAATTAAATAGGACCACAGTTACATTTCCAATAAAGTGAACGACAGGTCCATTGTTTGTTTGCTTGGCAAAAGAGAAGCCGACAGCCAGCAATCCGGTGGATAAAAAGAAAAGGTTTGGTTGCGGGAGAAAGCAATTCGGTGGAAAGATAGATTTGAAAGGATCTTGCTGCGTCGGATAATGAATATATATATAAACCAGGCGATCTCCTACGTGATTATTGAAGGAGATTAACTTATGCATGTAGTGACACTCGAAAAAAGAAACTTAAACTTGTCGCTCAATTATGGAGGCGACGTACGTACGCACTGTGCTGGATCTGGAATTGCTCATCCATGATCTTGCCGGAGACCATCATCCTTAAAATAATTGACCTGCATAAAATGATAGCAGCCCAATCTCCTGGCTGAAATGATTGGCATGCGTATCCGTCGGATGTGTCCTTGTGTATCCAACGTGGAGTCGACCTAACATCAATATCATATCAGATTCTTGATGTGATCTCTCTAAAACTCTAAGTCAGGTTCCGACAATGATTTAGGTGGAGGTGAGGTGAGAGTGAGAACGATCAAACCTTAACAACTACATTATGATTTGCCTTTTACGGTAAGGAGGAATAGTCTTATAACCAAAAATATTTTTCAAATATTTTCTGTTCGGTTGATAC